GGAGTCTAGTAGGCATAAATTACGTCAGTCCAATCCGACGTCGAATTTGTGCACTCCGTGAGTCAAGAGGGAAACCTTGCGCATTTTTTCATGAGGCTTTTCTCCTCAGATGTACTAGCAGACCAGCGATCAGTGCTGCAGACCATGGCTGATAGGACGGTTGGGTCGAGCAGTCGTTTCTTCGCCTCTATATGAAGCTGAATGTTGAGTAATGATGTTGTAATTCGATTAAAGCTGGTTCATGCTGCTTTCCTTTTTCGGCCAATTAACCCCTATAGCGAGCTCAAGCAGTTCATCAGACGGCCGAGGTATGCATAGTTGGTGAATTACTGAGTTCTTCTCCACGGGCGTCAGGACCGTGTTTGTTTCGCATCCTTTTCGTCTTGGATCCGAATCGATCATGAAAGATTCTCCTTGCACCTACTTGAGTTTCTGTTGTAGCGCTACCGTGTTTTGTGCAAGAGGATACAAGCGTTTGCAAATAACAGCTGTACCCTCTTTATGAATATTTATGCCTTGGCACCAGTTTAGCCGGTACAAGAGTGACTCCATTGCAGCTTAAAAGAGTGCTGGTGAAATTGGAACTCCTTGGCGCACTCTTCGATGGATATTAATGCCATAAGGTTTATTGAACAGCTTGAGGTTAGTTATTAAACCGTTGCTCAGTTTCTCGATCAGATTGATGCAAGCAGAATTTATGCCATTTTATTGCGAAGGATTTTGTGCCGCCGTAAAATCTTTAGAATTGAACGCCGTCGTGTGGTCGATCAAAGCAATGCATATGGCATTCGATAATCTCCATTAGCAGCTGCATGACTTATATATGGTCGAGAAACACTGTACAAAACCCGGCCTATGTCTTGTGACTTATTATAGGTCCTTTTCAATACGTGAAGACCTTGTAGATTTGTGACAACAATGTAGTTGGCCGATAGTTCTTGAGGTCTTTGGGGTCGGTTTTCTTCCTCAGAAGAATCACACCTTATATCTTTCATTAAACATTTGACAAACGCCTCATGCAAGGTAGTTCCTCTCGCTTTAAAGTTTTCTGCTCTTATACCGTCTTTGTCTTGACAGCTGTTAATTTCAGTGTTTCGGAATACGCACTCAACTTCGTCCCAGGTATTTTTGGGCAAAGCTTCTGGGTCAGGTATGGCAACTTCTTCGCGTACTTTTTAAAAATATAGGTAACCGTCAACTTTCTACAGATCAACTGATGAGTAGTTCCTGCTCCTCTTTCGTATTTCAGTGCACTCGGAATCCGCTGTTTTAGGCGAATAGCTAATTCCACAACTTGAAGGCTTTTTTTCTGTTTTGCAACCTGTCTTAATCGAATTTTCTTGTAATTTACGCAGCCTTCCCTCGACTTGTCGTTTTAAACGATGCGGAGTACCTGCATTCTAATGTACCTTC